AGGAGGTAAGCAGCCAACAGTGGTGAAAGAACAAGTTAGGGACTATTTAGAAAAACTGGACGTGTACAAGTCCATGGGGCCAGATGGGATGCATCCGAGGGTGCTGAGGGAGTTGGCTGATGTGATTGCAGAGCCACTGGCCATCATGTTTGAAAACGCACAGAGATCAGGAGAGGTCCCAGATGATTGGAAAAGGGCAAACATGGTGCCCATATTTAAGAAAGGGAAGAAAGAGGATCCAGGGAACTCCAGAGCAGTCAGCCCAACCTCAGCTCCTGGATGAAGCAGATCCTCAAGGAATCAGTTTTCAAGCACGTGGAGGAGACGAAGGTCATTAGGAGGAGTCAGCGTGGATTCACCAAGCACAGGTCCTGCCTGACCAACCTGATGCCTTGTTATGAGGTGACTGGCTCTGTGGATCAGGGGAGACGGGTGGATGTGGTGGACCTTGATTTTAGCAAGGCTCCCACAGCATTCGCGCAAGCAAGCTAAGGAAGTCCGGGCTGGATGAATGGACTGGAAGGTGAATAGAAAACTGGCTGGATCACAGGGCTCAGAGGGTAGCAATCAATGGCTTGATGTCTAGTTGGCAGCTGGTGTCAAGTGCAGCACCCCAGGGGTTGGTCCTGGGGCCGGTTTTGGTCAATGTCTTCATCAGTGAACTGGAAGATGGGATGTGGCGCACCCTCAGCAAGTCTGCAGATGACACCAAGCTGGGCGGCAGCTGCCCTGGAGGGTCAGGCTAGGATTCAGAGTGATGAGACATGGGAGGATTGGGCAAAAATTTCATGAGGTTCAACAAGGACAAGTGCAAAGTCCTGCACATAGGAGGGAGCGATCCCCTGCACCGGGGCAGGCTGGGGGTCACTGGCTGGGCAGCAGCTCTGCAGAAAAGGACCTGGGGCTTATAGTGAGCGATAAGCTGACCGGGAGCCAGCAGTGTGCCCGCATTGCCAAGAAGGCAACCAGCATCCTGGGCTGCATCGGTAGGATCGCTGCCAGCAGATCGAGGCAGTGATTCTTCCCCTTCATGCAGCACCGGGGAGGCCACATCTGGACTCCTGTGTCTAGCTGCGGGCCCCCCACTGCAGAAAGGATGTGGACATGTTGAAGAGAGTCCAGCAGCAGCCAACAAAAATGTTCCAGTGGCTGGGGGACAGGACTGGTGAGGAGAGGCTGGGGGAACTGGGCTGATTTAGTCTGGAGAAGAGAAGACCGAGGGGGCTTGAATAGCACCTTCACCTCCCTGCAGGCGGGCTGCAAAGAGAATGAAGCTGGAGTGTTCTCAGTGTGGGCAGGTGACAGGACAAGGAGCAATGGGCTCAAGCTGCAGCAAGGGAAGTTGAGGCTGGATCTTAGGCAAAACTTCCTCACTAGGAGGGTGGTG